AAGTAAGATAATCCAAGTAATTACTGAATGTAGTACCTGGCACTCAATAAACATCAGTGCAATATTTAATGCAGTCTTAAAAGGTGGTTTCTTTTTGTTTTCTACGTGCATGTACATTTTCTATGTACATATGGGTGTGCATGTTTATTTACACACCCTCAAAATTTTAACGATGCTACTGTTATTAAAAATTAGAAGAAAAAAAGAGTTAAGCAAATGATTTTCTTGCTGTAGTAGAGACAATAAAGTGTATCTGTAATGCAAATTCATTTACTGTATGGAATAATTTTAAAACTATTCACACAAATAATTGAGAATTCAACAGACTGAAGTTCAAACATCACCTCTGCTCCATGCTGGTTACTTAACCAAGCAACTGTAGTTTTCAGTTGCCCCAACTGCAGCACAAGGAGGTCAGCCACAACCTCCCACCATTACCGTAGGTGGACAAAGGTCTCTATGGAAGATGCCCAGTCGAGGAAAGGAAGCACAACAGAAATGCAAAAGCTCCACCAACACAAACAGCGTGCGTCACCATGTAACACACGCTGGCCGCTGAAAGGTAACGGAGAAATCCGAATCTCTGAGACTTACTCAGATAACAAAATTCTCGTATACTAGCTATTAATAATATTGTAGATTGGATGAATCACAACGTTTTAATCTTTAACCCCCTCCAAAGCTGGTTTTGGGGAAACATTTATAAAACAGAAATTATATGGAAACATACTGCAATCTTTATCTGCAGGCCTTTTGCAATAATTTACCGTCTTCACGGTCCTGTGTAGGCAGCTATCTGACCCACTTGGTTGGAAAACCAAGCTGGTGAGCTGGGCCACAGTCTCTCAGCAGTGACAGAGCTGTGCGTGTTCCCCGGTCTCCCGGCAGCTGTGTTCTGGCGGGGGGCTGACCCTCCCTCCAGGCAGCTAGGACCCGCCTGGTTGTCGGAGCGTCATCGTGGAGGGAACAGGCTCTGCGTGGCTGTTTACACGTGCCCAGGTCTCCTTCCCCCTTTTTCAG